GCCGCGCTGCGCCGGGCGCCCGAGGGGAGGAGGCGGCCGTGGCCACCTCGCGGCGTGGCGCAGAGGAGGTGCTCTGGGAGCCGCACGTGCGTCACCACCACCACCACCATCACTGATCACCACCCACCACCGCCCACCTACCATCACCCGCCATTGCAAATAGTACGAGTACTAAGCATATGAAAAAGAATGATAATACGGGGAAGGAGACTGATAATATGACTAGAAATAAAAAAGTGTAATCATGCTAATACTAAAAATAATAATGATAATAGTCACCATCATCATCAACATCATCAGCATCGTCACCTTCATCATCATCATCATCATCATCATCATCATCAGCAGCAGCAGCAGCAGCATCATCCTAATCATCATCATCATCATCATCATCATCATCATCATCATCATCATCATCATCGTCATCATCATCATCATCATCAGCATCATCATCATAATCATCATCGTCATCATCCTCATCCTCATCCTCATTCTCGTCAGCATCATCACCGTCATCATTAACATCATCATCACCCCCACCACCACCACGATCATCGTCAACATCCGCGTCATCCTAGTCATTATCAGCTTCAGCATCGCCACCCGCATCATCAGCAAGAGCAGCATCCGCATCAGCATCGTCGTCATAATCATCATCATGAGCATCATCATCATCATCATAATCAGCAGCAGCAACAGGAGCGTTACCAACATGAACAGCCCTATCGCGTTATCAGCAGGATCATCAACATCAGCTCATCATCATCATCATCATCAGCAGCATCATCATCAGCATCATCATCATCATCACCACCATCACCATATAATCAGCATCGTCATCATAACCATCACCATCCTCATCATCTTCACCATCAGCATCATCATCAGCAACATCAGAATCCACAGCATCGTCGTAAGTATAGTCATCCTGAGCGTAATCTGGATCAGCATCGTCATCATCAACAGCAGCATCAAAACCCTTATCATTATCCGCGCCATCATCAGCATCATGATCATCAGCATCATCAGACTAGTCATTGGCCTAAACAGCATCATCACCGGCCACAGAATCGTCAGAAGTGTGATCGTCATCAGCATCAGAAGCATCGGCCGCATCAGCATGATGATCACCATCATGTTCATCGTCACAGCGTCATCAGCGTAGTACTCATCGTGGTCACCATCATCGTCATCATCATCAGCATCAGCATCAGCATCAGCATCTTCATCGTCATCAGCATCAGCATCATCACCATCCGCATTACCATCGGCCATCAGCATTGCCATTCGTATCAATATCATCGCCGTCAATCACATACCAATCATCATCATCGTCATCATCATCAGCATGATCAGCATTCTCATCGGCATCAACATGATCATCATCAGCATCACCATCATCATCATCATCATCAGCATCAGCATGCTCATTAGCATCAGCATCATCATCATCTTCAAAGTCTTCAGAATCGTCATCAGCATCGTCATCATCGTCATCATCATCATCGAAATCATCGTCGTCATCATCGTCTTCAGCAGCATCAGCGTCAACGACGTCATCATCATCATCATCGTCATCATCAGCATCAGCATCATCATCAATCAGAGTCTGATCAATCTCATCAACATCATCACATTCATCAGCATCATCATCATAATCAGCATCATCAACATCCTCATCATCAGCATCATTAGCAGCGGCGCGACCACGTCAAAAGAATCATGATCAGAGACGACATGTTCATGGTTGTGGTTGTCGTCACATTACACAGCCCGTCATCACCATCATGAGCATCACTAATGTCACCAGCATCATCACCGTCATCAGCATCGTCATCGTAGTCATCATCAGCATCAGCATCGGCATCAATCCCATCAGCAGCAGCAGCATCCGCATCAGCATCGTCATAATGATCAGTATCATCATCAGCAGCAGCAACATGCAGCATCATCGTCATCAGCAGCCGCAGCAGTATCATAAGCAGCAGCAGCAGCAACAGGATCATTATCCTCATCATCCTCATCGCGTTATCAGCAGCAGTATCAGCATCAGCTCAGCAGCATCATCAGCAGCAGCATCGTCGCAATCACCATCATCACTTCCACCATCAGCATCAGCATCCTCATGATCGTCATCGTCATTACCATCATAATTACCATCAGCATCCTCATCCTCGCCGTCGTCATTGCCACAACCAGCATCTTGTCCCTCCCATTCCTCCTCCACCTCCTCCTTCTGCGTCCCTCCGTCCTTCTCTACCTGCGCTCGTCAGGGAGGTAGCAGCCCCCTCCCCGCAAAGATGGAGAGGTTGGAGTCGATGCAGACCAGGTCCGAGCACCTGCCCAGCGCCCCCTCCCCCGTCACTCCTCCTCCTGCTCCTCCTCCTCCACCTCCTCCTCCTCCTCCGCATCATCATCATCACTAGCATCATCAGCATCAGCATCAGCATCATCATCATCACCACCACCACCAACACCGACACCACCACCACCACCATTATCATCATGATCACCACCACCACCACCGTCATCATCGTCATCATCACCACCACCACCATCACCATCATCATCAGCATCATCATCAGCAGCAGCATCAGCATCAGCATCATCGTCATCATCAGCAGCATCATCAGCAGTAGAAGCACCGTCATCGCCATCAGCACCATCACCACCATGACCATTCTGCCGCCCCTACCACTCATCTGAAATATCCTGGTCATCATCCTGCTCCTCCTCCTCCTCCTCGCCCTTCCCCTCCGCCCAGGCTGTCTAATTCATGGTACGGTCCCGGTAGACATCACTCTCGGTCGGCTGCTCGGGGCTTGAATTTCGTCGTGTGCGCAGGTTCTTGCTGGCCAAGGCGTTTGGCCTGGTGTCGTCATGCTGGCACTGTTGCACATGTCTGTTCCACCTCTTCCTCTGCGGCTTCCGAAGCGCGAATCCGCCACGCTCAGCTGGTCTTCCTGGCGCCTCCGGGCGCCCAAGGCGTCCACACCTCGAGGTTGATGTCGTGGCGGCGGGACTGGAACTTGGCTGTACGGCGCAGGTCTCGCGACCCTCTCTCCCAACCCCAGCCCCGACTGATGGCCTTGCCTGGTCAGCCACCGAGATCGCGCGTCAGCCCCTCGCCTCCATCGCTTACCATGCGTGCACCCCCTATCCACTCTGCATCCTCCTGCAGCCTCCTGTCCTCCACGAATCTCTCCTGCGTTCCTCTCCCTGCATCCCCGCAGCCTGGCCAAGCAAAGGGCGTCCGCCAACGCGTCCTCCGCGTCCTCCGCCTCTGCGCGGGCAGCGGCGGTAGTGGGGAAGGGTCGGGCGTGAAAGCAAGTGGAAGCGCGGCAGGTTTAGCCTGCCCAGTGGAGCGGCAAGCATATGGATCTTCCTTCCTCCTCCAGATATCCTGCTACTGATTTTCCTTCTCTGCCTCCTCTTGACGATGGTTAACCTGGAGCTACACTTGTTGCTGCACTCGAGAATGAACAAGGCTGCTCTTCGTTGCCGTCATGGCCCAAGTCTCGAGTTCGCGGGCGTCGCAGGGAGAAACAGCAGTATCAGGATGAGCAGGGAGGCGCACCTTAGACCGCGGAGTAAATGTTGCAAGCGTTGCAGCATGCAGCACCGTCTCTTGACAGGACAGCCACCGATGGGCTCAATTGCAGCTGACCGCACCCCCACCATCCAAAACGGTTGATCGCAGGCAGGTGTACACGAGTGCGATGGCCAAGGAACGGCGCAAGCCCAGGCAGACGCGAAGGAGGCGCTGTTGCTGCTACAGAACATGCGGCAAGAAGGTGCAGTCGAGCAGGAGATGCAGGACTCCAAGGCGAACGCAGCAGCGAGTCTGACAATAGTCTTGGAGTCTGAGGTGACCAGTTTCGACCCTGGCCCAGCGTTCGCGTCCGATGATCTGAAGCCGAAGAGGGTGGCAAGGAAGCTTGTACCGCGCTGCAGAATAGGTTCGCGATGGAACTCAAGAACAAGGTGAAGGAGTTGTTTGGAGAGTCTGCAGGCAATCTAGGCGAGATACGAAGTGAGGCGCAGTGCAGTCGATGCGTGATCGGCTCAAAAACAAAAAAACAAAAAACGCGACGACGGCGAACCGCAGGCAGCCAAAACCGATGACGCAGCAGCCAAGTCAACAGCAGCAGCCCCACCTACGCTGGCAGCGGATGGGAAGGATGCAGCTGCGACCGACAGGACAGCGGCTGGAGCGAGTTCGTGTTCAGGTGATGTTCCTGCCACCGCTGCTGCTCCAGTCTCCAAAGTCCAAAGTCCAGTTCTTGCTGCAGGCAGCAAGAGGCAAAGATCAGCAACAGCTCTGACGGCAGCGAAACACGGCCTACCGTACTCACCCCAGCCAGAAGCGGGGGATGGAAAAGCATGAGGGAGCCCGAGCCAGGGCAGACCTCAAACTGCCCTGTACCCACCCCGTGCGGGGAAGCGAGGGGAACCACAGCCCAAAGTGCGGCCAGCACTGGCGGCGAAGGCCAAGCTCAGGGTCGACCGACCGCAGGCGCACGGGTGGTCGCAGCCCGGCCCCCACGAGCTCCCGAGGGGCCGGGGCCGTCGACGGAGGGGTGGCCGAAGTTCCGTGGCAGAGGCGGGAGAGCCGGCGCTGCGACCAGTGCTGCACCCGCCCTGAAGAGGGAAGGGGAGGGGAGCGCCAGAGTCGAGTGCGGCCAGGTCTGGCGGCAGAGGCACGGGTCAGGATCGACTGGCCGCGGACGCGCAGGCGGTCGAAGCCCAGTCTCCCGAGCACCTGCGCTCCTTCGGGTCCGTGAACGGGCGGGCGGCCGAAGCCTCATGGAAGCGATTGGAAACCCTCTGCCGCGACCGGGCTTGTACCAGCCGTGAGGCCTTCGCAACAAGGAAAAGGAATGAACATGTAAATGAATTGAAAATACTGAAACCTCATGAAACCAAAAATTGATGGACAATAGTGGGGCGTACCACAAACGCAAACGACTGGGACAGTGGGCAAACGAGTGAAACATAATGCAAACGACTTGAATTTAGTGAACACGAATGCCAAGATTCAGAATCAACGTAGTGAAATGGAATGTTCCACAACTGCCAACGAATCGGGAATATTAAAAATTCATGGGGAATCGTGAAAACTAGTGGACAACCTTGAATCCGCCACCGTGACGCTGGGCACGGAGTGGGCGTACCATTAGGTAGGTTGCCTAATTTCCTGAGCCTCAGTCCTTCAGATCGTGGACCGCCAGCCAGTGTTATAGCTGCCCAGCGCGCAGCCCCTATTCTGGTTTGCAGTCCCAGGGTGGGGGTCCCACGGCTGTACTGGATGAGTACCTCAGGTATCATGCTTACCCTGCCTGAATCCGTTCTTGCTTCGACCCTGGCCCTTTCTGAGATCAGCGAGGATCCTGGGAGGCCTTTGGAGGTAGAGCCCCGAGTGGATAACCGAGGGGAGGGCGTGGCTGGAGGCGGTGGGAGGCTGTCGACCTTCTCGCATCGTGGCCTGCGTGGGGACGGGGCCGTGTTGCGGACGGTCGCTGGGGCGCTTGCGCGAACCCGCGGCCACGCCCGCGGCCGCGCGGCACCGTCGGCCACGACCCCGGCGCCCAGGACTCCCCTGGCACGGGGAGGGGCCTCCACCTCGGCTCTCTTGGCTTCGGCTCTCCTGACTCGAGTCGCCGCGTGCGAGGCGTGGAGCAGCTGTCACCCCGCAGCCCCGGAATCCCATCCCCCCACTGATGCTCCTCGTCCTCCTCTTATCCACGCACTCTTCCTCCTCCTCCATCTCGCACTCCCCCCCCCCTTCGCGTTGGTGCCGCCCTCCCCCATTCACCCGTTGCTCCTCCTTCTCCTCCTCCTCCTCCTCCTCCTCCTCCTCCTTCTCCTCCTTCTCCTCCTCCTCCTCCCTCCTCCTCCTCCCCCTCCTTGTCGCTCGCGCGCTCCAGAGTGGCTCAATCCTGCCGCGGCTGGACGCCAGGATCGAAGCGCGGCGCTTAGTAAACCTGACAAGCGCTCATCCAGACGAAACCTCACCACTCCCTGTTCCACTGAGCGCCGCTCATTAATCTTACATTGCCTTTCACCATCTGGCCCTCGGGGAAGGGATGCTCCACAAGCGCGCTGGTGCCCCTCACGACGCCGCGCCTCTCGCACTCCGCGCCGCCCTTCTTCGCCAGCGCACAGGTGATCCAGCAGTGGTCTTGCGTCACCCGGATCAGCTCGCCGTGCGGATCCTGGAGCAGCTTGTCGCCACCACCGAGCTGGGCGCAACCGCTGTTGGCAACGTCCTTCGCAGTCTGCGCCGTGAGCGCGCGCTCACGGGAGGAGAAGGTGGAGGAGGAGGGGGAGGAGGAGGACGAGGAGGAGAAGGAGGAGGAGGAGGAGGAGGAGGAGGGGGTGAAGGAGGAGGAGGAGGGCTCGCCTGCGAGCACCATGAGGACGATCCGCTACCGACTCCACGTCCGAGTCCGCCGACTCCGGGCGAGGGCACAGGCCTTGTGCAGAGGCGAGCGCCGTGAGCGTCGCCGGCAGAGTGCACGCCCTGGCTCGGCTGCGCTCAGCGCTAGTCAGAGGGCTCCTCCTCCTCCTCCTCGTCCTCCTCCTCCTCCTCCTCCTCCTCCTACTCCTCCTCCTCCTCCGTCTCTGGGGATGCGTGCCGGTTCTGTAGCAGGTCTGAGATTCGCGGGCACGAGCTCGAGCCCAACCCCCCCCCAGCCACGGGCGGGCGGGAGTCACGCTGGTGGAGGAGCGGCAGCAGCCGCCGCCGAGCGAGTCGAGCCGAGTGGGTCGAGTCGCGTCGCGCTGCTTGGCATGAAGGAAAGGGTCCTGAGGGAAACGGCCCCTGGAGACCCCAGGGCTTTCCCTGAGGGGAGCGCCCCAAGATGCCGAGAACGGCCAATTGTCTCAAGGCCCCTTCCCCCTCGAGACAACTTCTGCACGTGGCGAAAAGTGGAGACGCCAGGCCGATTGATGTCGAGCCAGGTGACGTCCAAGCAGAGCCGAGCCGTGACCACCACCACAATTATCCTCCTCAATCCTTATTCCTTATTAGAATATACTCCTACCCCCCCCTCAGGCCGGCAGATAGCGGGCGCATCCGGGTGGTCCCATCTTAACCTGTAAAAAACAATACAAAATCAACATTTTTCTTATTTTTTCCTCTCGACATGGACGTCCTGTCGTCCACGGCGATAATCCATTGCAAAAAATACCACAAAGAGCACACGCGCGCGTTCATGTCAGAATCCTACCGAACACCGTGTGTTTGCAAGCATTTCAACATAAAAACATCAAAAACCCAATGCTTTTTCACAAAAATTGTACAAATTTCCCGCCCGGGCTCTCTTGCTGAAATCATAGGAAAACCATAGGAATCTTAAGAATTCTGTCAAATCCAGCGATTTCACGTCATCGCGCGGTGCACTCGCGATGCTCTGTCATGCACCCAGGCCGCGAATCCTGTGCAAAAAATACCACAAAGAGCACACTCGCGCGTTCATGTCAGAATCCTACCGAACACCGTGTGTTTGCAAGCATTTCAACATAAAAACATCAAAAACCCAATGCTTTTTCACAAAAATGCTTTGGGGTGTCCTGTCAGACCGTCGGGCTTCCTCCGGCCACCTCTGGCTTCCTGCGGTGTACCGGGCCATTCTCGACTCGTCTGGCAATGCGTGCGCGGCATTCAACACGCGCTCGCCAGTTCCCGTCGGCAACCGCCATCGCGGCCGCATCAGCTGTACCAAACCGGCTGGCCGGTGTGACTTCGGCCCCCAGTTGTGCCAGCTTTGCTTCTTATGTTGTGGGAGGGCGGGTGGGACTGGGCATGCCATGCTTGACTCGCTCGAGCTGGCTAGCTTGACCTCCCTCCTACTCCTCCTCCTCCTCCTCTTCCTCCTCCTCTGCCTCCTCCTCCTCCTCCTCCTCGCCATCCTCCTCCTCGCAATCATCATCATCATCATCATCATCATCATCATCATCATCATCATCATCATCATCATCATCATCATCAGCAGCAGCAGCAGCAGCAGCATCAGCATCATCATCAGCAGCAGCATATTCATCATCAATCATTACCACCATCATCATCATCATCATCATCATCATCATCATCGACATCATCATCAGCCTCATCATCATAAGCATCATCCTCATCAGCATCATCATCAGCATGATCATCACTACCACCAACACTACCATCATCAGCAGCATCATCACCATCACCACCAACACCAACACCACCACCACCACCACCACCAACAACAACAACAACAACAACAATCATGTTAATACTGTTCGCTCTCATCTGCTCGCGTGCCATTCCACACGTATATCCCAAACTCTCGATACCCGCCCTCTTCGTCTTTGATCGTACCACCGTAAGGTTTTATCTTTGTTACCTGCAACGTGCATCTCGTGCAGCCCCTAAGGCAGAGGAAGAGAGGACAGATGGAAGGAAGGCACAAGGGGCAAGCGGGTTGCTGAAGCGTGCGTCCTGCATGAATCGCGAGGATATCTCGAACGATAACGCGATTCCCAAATAAATTGTGCGAACATCCAAAACGGGAGCGTGATTCCTGAGTGTCGAGGGCGCGGCGTCTGAATAAATTGCGAGAAAGTCCCTCGCGAGAGCGCGATTCCTGTAGAAATGATGAGGAAGCCCCGTGCGAGAGCGCGGTGAGGAAGAATCGCGCGGGAGCCGCTGTTGTTGAAAACCAGGGGCCATGGGCACAGTTTGGTGACACCTCACTTTCCCTTGTAAAAAAACAGTGTGCGAGCCCGGGAAGAGGCACTCGAACTGGAAGAACTGAATGGTTACCGTTGAGGGGAGATCGACCGTAATTACTCTCGGGGTATCAGAATTCAACAGCAACAGCAACAACAACAACAACAACAACAACAACGGCAGCAGCAGCAAGAACAACAACAACAACAACAACAACGACAACAACAACAACAACAGCAACGACAACAGCATCAGCAACAACAACAGCAACAGCAACAACAACATCATCAGCATCGTTACCATCATCATCGTCACCACCATCGTCATGATCACCTTGATCAGCATCCAAATCATCATCGTGATCAGCATCATCATCTAAACCATCATCATCATAATCCTGGTCGCCATCATCATCATCATCATCATCATCATCAGCAGCAGCAGCAGCATCATCACCATCAGCATCAGCATCAGCACCACCACAATCAACATCGTCAGCAACAGCAGCAGCAGCGGCGGCGGCAGCGGCGGCGGCATCAGTGTCATTGTCATCTACAGCAGTAGCAGCATCAGCATCATCATCATCATCTCCATCACAGTCACCTTCACCATCACCATCATCATGTCAGCATCACCATCATCAGCATCAACAGCATCATCATCGTGTCATCATCATTACCATCACCATCACCATCACCATCACTATCATCATCAGCAGCAGCATCATTAACATCACCATCACCATCACCATCACCATCACCATCACTATCGTTGTTACCATCAGCATCATCTCCATCACCATCATCACCATCATCGTCATCATCAGCATCATCACCACCACCACCATCGCCATCCCTATGATCATCACAATCGTCGTCCGCTTCCTCCTCCTCCTCACCATCATCAGCAGTAGCATCAGCATACTCATCCTCATCATCATCAGCAGCAGCAACATCAGCATCAGCATCATCAGCATCATCATCATCAGCATCATCATCATCAGCATCATCGTCATCGCCACTTTCCTCATCCTCATCGTCATCATCATCATCAGCAGCAGCATCATCATCAACATCAGCATCATCACCATCCGCAACATCATCATCAGCAGCATCATCATCAGCAGCAGCATCATCATCATGAACCGCATCCTCGCCATCATCATGGTCAGTACTATCAGCATCGCCATCGTCACTCTCATCATGAGCAGCACCACCACCATCGCCACCAACATCATCATCACAATCGGTACGCTCTTCCTCCATCTCTGGGGGCAAAGTCTTAGACCCTCGACCACACCCAACTTCTTCCCTCACCCAAGGGAACGCGCAGCCGAAACGTCCAAACATGCCCTGTGCTTCGGCGGCTAGAGCGCAGATTCGGACGCCCGAAATGGGTACGGAAGAAATGGGTACAATGCCCAACAAATGTTGTCCCAAACCAACAGCGGTCGCAGTTGGGCAGGCGGCCATCTGTCTCAGATGGACACAGGCCGCGGCAGCGCGAACAGCGAGTCCGGTTCAAAATGAACAGGAACTGCGGTTGGGTATTGTACCCATTTTGCCTGTACCAATTTCGTTCGTGCTGAGCAGAGACGTGACAAAGCAAAGATCGGGGACGCGCCATCCCGGGCAAGCGCTGACCCTGGGTCAATCAAGGCCACGCCGCGCACCTGGGCCGGCCACGAAGTAGGCCCCCAGACCCCGGGGCAAGGCGGAAAGAGGGGAGACGGGGCCGGCCCCAGGGGAGAAAGAGGAGGAAGTGGAGGAGGAGGAGGAGGAGGAGGAGAGGAGGAGGAGGAGGAGGAGAAGAGGGAGGAGGAGGAGGGAGAGAGGAGGAGGAGGGAGGAGGAGGAGGGGAGGAGGAGGAGGAGAGGAGGAGGAGGGGAGGAGGAGGGGAGACTGGGCCGGCCCAAGGGGATCGGAGGCCACCGGCTGGCCCCCAGTCCGCGCCGACCCCGCTTGCCAGCGCCCCGAGGCGAGCTCGGCCCTTCCCCCGCCGCCCCGCCCCGCCTCGCAGGGCGAGCGGTGCACCTCGTTGTCCACGCCGTCCTCGCGCACGCCGCCCACCGACCGCCTCACGCCCCGGCGGAGGCACAGATCGACGGGGCCGCCCGGCGGGAAGGCCTCTGGCGCCGGCGGGCACCACCGACTTCGGCGGTCGGCGACGACGGCAGCGGCGACGGCGGCAGCGGCGGCGACGACGGCGGCGGCGGCGACGGTGACGGCAGAGATGGCGAGAACGGCGACGGCAGCGACGAGGTTTGGACGCTCGGGGCCCCTTTGGCATCCAGGAGCATCTGGGGGCCTCGATCCGGTGCCGCTCGGGAAGCACTGGCAGCCTCTGGGGACCCCCGCGGGCGGGGATCTCTGCAAGAGGCCTCCAGATCTCTGGCGAGAGGCGACGGCGACACGACGGCGGCGGGGGGAGGGGGGGCAGCAGTCGGGGCAAGAGCGGGGTGGACGGAGTGGGCATACGTAGGAAGGCGGGCAAGGCGGGGAGGGAGGAGGGGGGAGGAAGCCCATACGTCCAACGGCCTGGAAAGGCTCACAGCACGAAAACGAGAGGGTGGTTTCTCTCAAACGGATCCCCTTCCAGGATTACGGGACCTCGGGGCGCTCGTGTTTCAATGGGGGTGTTTCAGTAAAGAGTGATGCGTGTTGGGGCAAGTGGTGAGAACACTTGGGACGGGTGGGTGCATTACAGTGCCATTGGTACATCGTAAATATGTTTACTCTGGTTATCATAATCCTCATCCGTTGCCGTATACTGCCGCTGTTGCTGCAGTTCCTCCCCTTCCCCCTCTTCCCCCTACTCTTCTTATTATCTATATTAGAAGTGGTATTATTGCTGTTCGTATCATGATTCTGTTTATCATGATTATTAGTAGTCGTCAAGTTAGCACGACTATTAGTATCATTCGCAATACTATAATATTAGTAGTATGATTAGTGTTGTTCCTCCTCATCCTCCTCCTTCTGCTCCTGCTCCTCTTTGGCTGCTCTCATCCTTGTCATCCGCAGCCTCACCCCTGCGCCCTCATCATCATCAGCATCTCCCCCTCCTCCTCAACCTCCTCCTCCTCCTTCTCTTCCTCCTCCTCCTCCCACATACTCCTCATCCTCCTCCTCCTCTTCCTCCTCCTCCTCCTCCTCCTCCTCCTCCTCCTCCTCCTCCTCCGCCTCCTTTTCCTCCCACATCCGATCCTCCTCACTCACATTCCTCCTCCACTCCGTCCCCAGACCCGAAGAGGGGGGCCTCTTCGAAGGCCGCCACGGCCAGCTCGTCGTCGGACGCCAGGAACCTGCCCGCTCCGTCGTCCGACGCCGCCCCCTCCACCTCGTCTTCCCTCCCCTCCTGCCTGCATTCTCCCCCTCGCGCCTCCACAATTACTCAATATGAATATACTCCCTCTTCCCCTGATGGCGTCCGGGTGACGGCCGCGCACCCTCCGCGTACTGTTTTTTACACACAGGATGCCCGGGAAATCCCGGGAAACGACTCTCGCTGAGGCGCCGGCGTCATTTTTTCCCAACATGCTGCTCTCGCGCCGGCGTCATTTTTTCCCAAAATGCTGCTCTCGTTGAGGTGCCGGCCTCATTTCTGCTCCCGAATCCTTCCCCTGATGGCGTCCGGGTGATGGCCGCGCACCCTCCGCGTACTGTTTTTTAACACACAGGATGCCCGGGAAATCCCGGGAAACGACTCTCGCTGAGGCGCCGGCGTCATTTTTTTTCCCAAAATGCTGCTCTCGTTGAGGCGCCGGCTTCATTTCTGCTCCCGAATCGTTCCG